ACACATCACACATAGCTTGAAAGCTTTCATTCAATTGCATTGCAATCAACATGTTCAAAGCATAACAGCTCCAATTGCAAGCAACTCACATAAGCCATATAGACTGATTCCTTGGATCAGAAAAATGTGCGATGCAACTGTTGTTTACACACCTCATGTGAGATCTATAAAAGGCTCAGTAGTATTTGAGACTTGCTATACATGACAGGCACATGCACTGCTTCATCCTGCAAACAGCTTGAGCTTTATTCACAATGCTGCATAATGAGCTAACATATATACACAACTCAATGATAACAGTGCTTTATCATGAAGCCACACAGCCAGGCTTGGCAGTGCTTATACATGGAATCATAGCCCAAATACATTGGCAATGTGCAATAACAAAAACATACTTAGCAGTACTCATCAGGCTGCTTCTGTAAATACATAAACATTGCATGCAATGCAAACTCTTTTTGCAAAGTGTACCCTCCAACTTCAACAATGCATGCATACAACACTTCCTTTGAAGCCTAGCTATAGAGCTTGTGATGTCCTTGTTGGAAGCAAATTGCATATTCAGTGCTTTATGCATGGAGCTTGTAAGATTCTCTTCACCATCTTGCATGATCCAGGGGGGTATGAAATTAAAATGATCAAAGAGCTCCATAATTCCTCTAATCTTAATGCTTTAAGAAGAAACAATTGGAGTTGCTACAAGGTTGCAGCTTCAAGCTGCAAAGCTTGCAGCTTGAAGCTCTAAATGCAGCCAAGTGGGTGGTGTAGACCCAAAGCACCAGGCAGGCTGCCTCCATGGCTCCACATCAGCAAGAGCTGCCACAAGCTGCAGGCGACATGCCAGCTGCACTGGCTAAGTTGTGAAAGCAAAAAGTACTAGTATACATGGTGTATTGTTAACTGTGTACCTTTTGCTACCTTTTGCCCAGCAGCAAGCAAGTCTTGTAAGCATGATGTCATACATGACATGGCTATGCACAATGAAACTCAACAAAAGCATACATGGCTTGACCACATATGCAAAGTATAGTACAAGACAATTAGCTATGTGATGTTCTTACAAGTCTCAATGAGCCATATGTTCACATGCAATCATGTGTAAATGCTCATGGCAGCTTGAAGCTTGTATCATTCCTGGAGTATGTACAAAGGTGCTTGAAAACATATGTACAAGATATTCACTTTCTTTTCATACCTTCATACCTTCATCAAGCTTCATCCTATGGAAGCAATATAGCTATACAGCTATGAGCTCTGTGTTGCCCAGCTATCAGGCACTGTGGGCCTGCAATCAGCTTTCAATGCCCTTTGAGTATAGTGATTTTGTAAAATGTGACAGAAGCAAGTGCAGTACATTTGTCTGTACTCCATTGCAGCTGCTCTGCACAGGCAATCATGACACTTTACAATCTTTTTCTCTATAGTGCCCTCTATACTCAGCTTCACTCTGCCAACGTACACATTGCCATCCATGTAGTGCTGGACAAATGGAATGCCCTCAACCCATTTCACTACATCCTCTTGCACCACCTTTTGCTTTTTGGGAGGATGTACAGGTTCACCTGGAGCTTGAAATGCTTCAACTGGCTCAGGGTGAGGTGCTACACAAGCTACATCCTCTTGCACCTTTTGCTTTTTGGGAGGATGTACAGGTTCACCTGGAGCTGGAAATGCTTCAACTGGCTCAGGGTCAGGTGCTACCCAAGCTTGAGAAGCTTCCATCTCTGCTCACAGAACCAACTGAGCTTGTTTCACTTGAGCCCTTGCTATAGGATTAGGTGTGAGCTTGCAATCTAAAGCTGTCAGCTATGTAAGCTAAAGCTGTCAGCTATGCGCATTATTTGCACAATGTTTCCAGCAAAAGCTAAGCAGCACACTGAGAACCTATGAAGCAAGAATGTCTGCAGCCTCAATGGTCACAGAATGCTTGACACTTTTTTTTCTCAGCTGAAGCCTGGTTCATCAAACCTATATAGATGTGCAAAGATAAGCCTCCATGTTCAGAGCTTCATCATAAGCATACACTGCATGCATGTACTTATTTGCAACATCCTTTATAGTGGAAACCATTATATGTAGTCTTTTACATTAGATGTATCCTTCCTATATCATTGCTTTTTGCTCTTGCTGCTGGAGGCTTTTGCTTGGGCAGTAAATCTACCACTTTTGTTGTATTGCCTAGGTTGCACAGTTGATTCATCATCTTGTGATGCATTTTGGATCACATTGAAAAGAATGAGAAGCTGTTCCTCTACCAATGGAATTTGAAGATCTTCTTTGGGCATTTTGGCACGCCGCACATGTAAAATATCACAGCCCTCATGGCCACACTTGATGTCCACATAGCCATCTTGAAAATCAATCTTCTTTCTTTTCTTTCTACTCTCTTCTTTGTCAAACATTTCAGCACTTGGATCTAAAGCAGCTTCTTGCTTCTTGTTTCTGAAGTCAATCAGCATCTGCAACCCAGTGCAGTTGCTCAAAGTCTGTTGTTTCTTTCCTGGCATGCAGGTGAGGAGTTGCAGGAGGCAAAAAACAAATAAGTGAAAGAAAATTGAATTGATAATAGAAGGTGCAGTGTTTGAAAGAGTGTTTTGCATATAAACCACACCCCTCCTTCTGTCAGCAGCTTGACAAAGCCATAGTTGGATGCTCTTATTTGCAGCCAATGCTTCCAGCTACATGAGTCATCTGCTTCATGCAGCAATGCTGCTGGCGCAATCCATTTTTTTGCATCATCCCCAATGGAGATTTGGCATTGCCAGCTGATGCCAATCTGCATAGGTTCCACTAAGGCAGGTGAAGGAGACTCCATCTTCCACAGGACTTCACAAGAGTCAATCAGTCAGCACAAAGCTTGAGCAGGATGCTTCACACATAATAGAAATAGGTCAGCACAAAGCTTGAGCAGGATGCTTCACACATAATAGAAATAGGCTTTTCTTATATAGATATAGAATGTCTGATGGGTCATGCCTTGGAAAGCATGATTATATATAAGCATCTTGGGTTGCAACTGCTCACAACTCCACAAAATGCACAGCTGGACTTCAGCTACAAGTTATCAAACACTCACCACAGAAAAAGCTTCTGCGCAATTCCTTTTGGCAGATTCATCGCACTTACAGCTGAGGCTAGTCTTGAAACACATACTTCAAATGCAGCTTTGAGCTTACTTGCTGATCCTTGCCTTCTTTGCTCTGGAGCCATCCTTTGGATCTTCTTGTTTTTTGATGAAGATCTCTTGGCCAACACTGATGGGTGCCACATTTGTGAAGCCTGAAACCACATGCCCTTCATATTTGAAGCTTTTGCTTTCCATCTGGCCCTCCTCATGCTCAGAAAGCAGCCAATAGGGAGCAATGCAGCCACTCTTGTCTTCATCCTTCTTCCAAATCTTAGGCCCATTGATGTAGAAGGTGAGCTTAGTCTCAGGATTCTGGATGGTTGGGCATGTCTTTGAAGGCTTGTTCTCATTCAAGTGCGCACAAGAGGTGGTGATGGGTATCAGGCATAGCTGGTTTGCTTTGAACTCTTTCTTGGCAAACACTTTCAGCTTCATGCCATTCTGGAGGACTTGGATATGATTTGAATCACAATCCATCTTGTCATAGCAATTCCACAAAGCCAAAAAAGCTTTGGCCTTCTCCATCTCACTAGTGAACTTTGCACTGGGAAAGAGGTCTTCCAGCACATCATCTGGAATCATGGTAGGTGCTTTGGCCTTGGTCGATCTCAACTTGGCAAGAATGTCTGCAGCCTCAATGGTCACCATGTCCTTTTTGCTGGAGATAGGACCCAGGTATGCCAATTGCAATGCACCTGCTCCCTTTTTCTCCAAGGAGAATACCTTGCCAGGGTGGTCTTTGTGAGTAAAAGTATTCCCCACAGTGAGCTTCAAAGACAGGCCTGCAATGGTCATAGGGTCCATACCCTCTTTGACACTCAAGGAAGGCAAGGGCTCCTTTGCAGCCTTTGCTTCAGCAGCTTCATGCTTCAATGAACCAGCAGCTTCAAGCTCATCTTCAAACTTCTGGTTGATAGCTTCCAAGCTTTCATACTCTTTTTGCTCATGGCCTGCCTTGCTTTTTTTCAGGATGTGCAGCAAGGACTTGATCAAGAGCCTGCCAAAAGCCTGTTGCTTGATGATGGACTCTTTCTCAACAGTGGTCCATGCTGCATGAAACATCTTCTCCATGTCGCCCAAAATGACATTGAACTTCTTGTTCTTCAGCTGCTGTATGTCACTCTTGGAAAGGAGTCTCCCAAAGCCATCAGAAACCTTGCTTCTTGGTGAAAGGAAATTTGTCACTGCCATTGCAAGCCTTGTCAGGCTGAAAAGATTGGTCTTTGAGAGCTCAACATCAGTAATGGCAGACCAAAAGTCTTTTCCCAAAGAGATTGACTTTCCCTGGGATGGCGCAAATGATACCAGAAATGCAATCAATGGGAAATCAGCACCCCCTCCTCCATAAAGGCGCACAAACTTCCCCAGGGTTTCAGCATAAGCTGCAATAGGGCCTGCAGCAGCTTCCTTAGCTATGCTTCCAAAATCAGGTTCTTTGCCAAGCTTGGTCAAAGAAGCAGCTCTGCTGGCAATGGTTGCCAGAAGCTCTTGCTCAGAAACAGCTTCATAAGCTTGGTTGGTGGAGTTCAAGGCTTTTTGTGCCAAATGTGGCAAGGAAGGCCACTCTTCCTGCAGCATGGCCACTTGGAGAACTACATCACTTGCCCAACAGTCTAAAATCAGTTGTGCATGGACAAACAACAAATGTTTTCATGGTGGTTTCTCTTTAATGCATATACACTAAGTTTGCTACAACTCTGGCCTCAACAAACCATGGAATGACCAGCCACTTCCACCCCTCTTCAATGATCTTGGCAAACTCATGGTCATGAGAATGCAAAGCAGCTGACATTCTGCCATTGGCATCCATCAGCTCTGCAATTGGAGACTTGCAGCCTGAAGCTAAAGCCTTGCAAAACTGGGAGAAATGAGATGATGACACTGAAAGGAACCTCTCTCCTCCATGGGGCTTTGCAAAAAGTCTTGGTGAGCCTTCCAAAGGCTTTCACTGCAAGCTGTTTGAGCTGCTCTCTTGGTCATATCAGGATTGATTTCAAAGCAAGTTGAATTTTGCAGCAAGGTTGGGTCACAACCTGCTGTCAAAATGATCTGGCCCTTGGCATGAGCATTGTGCACTGAAATGCCACTGCCACCTCTGTTTTGGCCATGCGCAAGCATGTCCTGGACCTTGATGGTGGTATAGTAGCAAATCTTTTTATCCAAGAAGTAGCCACAAAGGGCTTTCCACTTAGCCAAGTCACCCACATCATGCTCCAAGATCTGGTTCACTTCAGATTTGATTTCTGAAGTCAACATTCTGCAACAACAGGTTCAGGAAATGAATCACAGCAATGTTTGAGCAATCAATGCTTCAGCAATCTAGCCAGTGAAGGTTTGACATTTAACATGTCTGACAGTGTTTGCTTTCATAACTGAAAATGGTAGCAACAAACACATATAACCAAATGAACCTGCAACCTGCATGCAGCACAACTCTTTGGAAACTCTCTTGAACATGACAGTCAAAGCATTCATGTGTGCTTGCAATGCTCCTGCTGCAATCTAATTATTTAGATAAATTTGAAGTTTATATATGTCAAGTTTGTTGCTCTCAACAATGTCAATGCTTCATGTCATGGCACACACATGCATGTTGTACAATTGTTCTTCAATGCATGTTGTTGCATCAATGCACTGCACCTTGTTGACAAAAGCACACACTATGTATATAGGTTATTTCATTTCTACAAAAAATATTTTACTTATCAAATCAAACAAAACAAAAAACAGCTCCAAACAATATAAAATTCACTGTTCCAAAACTTGCTGCTGACATTAAAATACAAAGCAACAAACATAAAGAATTAATGAAAAAACAATAATCAATATAGCTAAGCTGTTAGCTATTTGATAGCTAAGTACTTAGCATCTCCCTGCCCTAAGTGTTTAGTAACTACTTAACTATCCACATAATAAGTACATAGTAAAGGGATAGCAAAATGCATGACCACTTAGCTAACCACTTAGCTAACCCACCTAACATTTAGCTATCTCCGCCACCATTTACTATCCATGGTTCGGAGATAGCTATATAGATAGCAGAGATGTAGGAGATACATCTGACATAGCACTGACATAGTGCAGACATACCACAGAGATAGCACACTGATAGCAAGTGTCCTAAGCCCTATAATCCCTTAGCAACCCCAGAGAACATCCAAGTATACCTCCAATCAGTTGTATTGCCTGGACCAAGCAGGACTAGGTGGCCAGTGTATAGTACCGTCCACTGTCAACCTAGGCCTCACAATCCATACAGGGTGGACGTGTCAGCTCACGAGTGAGGCTATGGTCAAAATACAACTACAGTCATCTATGACTAGCTTGCTGTCCAAACAGCTCGCAAAATTTCGAGCGAGGCTAGCAGCTGCAAACCGGGCCAACCTCAGTATACATGCGAAGATCATATACTTTAATACCTTTTCCCTGAGCCTTTTCTACTACTCGCAGACTCAGCGCTTCTTCTCGCCTATGCTCCTCAAACCACTCTATCACGCGATGGCGGATTTTCTGCTGAACCGACACTGGTTCCCACAGCACCTGCTCGTAGGCCTCTGTCGCTGGTTACGTATAGGCCCTTTGCTTGATCCTACAATTATGCAGGCGATCTCTCTGTTTGGATGTTACCTGCGGCAAGGATACAGATCTCTCGCAGAGGAGCAAGAAGGCTCCTTTGCTGCGCAAATCCAGCAATGCTGGAGACACTGGCAAAAGCAACTCCCTGCTGAAGACATACAGCGTCTCTTAGCCCTACGGCAAAACAACACACCTGCACAGAGAGCAAGCAGTTTCAAGCAGTTATTTAAGCAGATCGCCATTACTAGGCTTCTTGAAGCCTCCCATCGACATTTGACCAACCGAATATACAAAAATGGCTGGGCCCTGGGTCCCTCTATCGAATTCCTGGACTGGCTTGCAGAGCTTCCTACCACACAAGTAGGAGCTGTGCCACGATATGCTGTCTTACGATGGGCTCTAGGGGAAGATGCTGACTTCTGGTTGCCCCTCAGAGGCAAGCTTAGCCGTAGCCAGCCCTGCGTATGGTGTCAGAACATCACACGATGCTTTCCACAAGGACCAGGGTATGGGGCGCTATGTCCATCATGCTTCCTGCCAGCAGCACCAAGGGATGTTACCTTGCGTGACCTCTGTGATGAGAGTAGTACATTTCTGCACTTTCATAAAATTACTGTGCCTTCTCTCAAGCGACTACCTCCTGCGTTTTCTCGTCTTGCGCCTTCTGAGGGGTGCCGTGCCCCTGACTCGTACGTTCCCTGCGTACTCTGCCAACGAGGTGTCAACTCTATCGATCATTGGCTCTCTTTCTGCCAAGTTGCTCACTTAACTTGGATTGCCCTGTGGGCTTCCCCGGCCCCAGAGATTGATTGGCGCAAGGTACCGTCCCGTAGCACAGGAGTAGCACTCTGTTATATGCTCTTCCACCTCCGGCGACTTGTCACTGAATATGGTGGCCTTAGACCGGTCATTGCTTGTGTGCGCAACCGCTCGGTCTCGCACCATGTGCTTGACTTGTGGCAGCGAATCTATCATTCACTACCTAGCACGTTGCTCAGGTACTTTCGTGCCCCGCCTCAAGCTGGAAATGCCTCCTGTATTGACTCCACCAAGATTAGGCTGCAGCGATTCCCTACGGTAGTGCTCGAATCTGCTTTGTTCCCACCCAAGGGGCTCACTACTGTCCAGCCTTTTGCCAAAGGTGACACAATAGCCACCTTTGCCAAGAATGACAGCCGCCTCAGGTTGCTTTTATTGCAACGCAAGAAGCTCCCTTTCCCTACGGCTACTGCTTGTCTGGTACCCTTTCTGTGCCATTGTGGAGCTACACATTTACGATTACAGGCTACGGACGACCTGTCTGCAAACACTATTCTTCTGCTCAGTGAACCGCATGAGTGGCAAGGTTGCCTTGTTCAATTTGACGGCTCTGCACATAAACACACTCGTACAGGAGGGGCAGGCGTTAGCTTGCTGCATGTCACGCCGTCCTCCACCACACTGGTCCAGTGGCTCTCCATTCCATTACTCTCCTGTGCAGATAACGTTCTTGCAGAAGCTCATGCCTGCCGTGCTGCCATTAAACTTGCCTTTGAGTACTATGTTTCCTGCCTGTCTAGAGGTATTTATGTAGACACTGTTGTTGTCCAGGGGGACATTTTGCCGATCATAAATTACCTTCAGCGCAAAGGGAGAGTTAAGAAACCAGCTGTCGTCGCCATTCTAGATCAGTGTCAGCAATTACTGGCCCGCGCACCCTGCCTTTTCCGCCTTGTTTATTTACCAAGAGAATGCAATCGACTTGCAGACTATTTTGCAGGTCAGGCCAGTGCTGCGGCTAAGGAAGCTGCAGGCAACCCACTGGTGCCGCTGCATCATGCAGCTCTCCCACCGTATCAGCTAGCGCAATCACTAGGATTCATTATTGAACAGGGAACTGCGTCGCAAGTCCCTGCTTTCGTCCTCACGGAGTGCCCTTCCCCTGCTCCCCAGGAGCTATATACACTACTACGGCCGCACCCGCGCTACAAGTTTGTATCCTTGGACTATATTGCCTCCGCAGTGGCATCCTCTCATTGCCTCAGTGTGGGTTACAAGCCCACGATTGACGCTTTTGGGGGCAGATACTATGCAGTAGGCAATGCAGCACAGCGACTGCCACGTCAGGTTCGGCTCCTCCTCTTTGGCCGCTCCCATTGGGAGATAGACATCAGTGGGGCGCACTATGAACTTATGAGGCGGCAGTGCAAAGCAGCTGCTGTTCATTTAGAGTTACCCCCGATTGCGCAAGCACGAGCGCGCCTAAGAGAAGCGCTCAGTACCCAAATTGCTGACGGTGATGTAGAGTTCTTGGTAAAAACATGGCCGTGGGTCATCATTAACAGTGCCACACCACAGGAGGCAGTCGAATACCTCAGGAAGCGTTTAATAGGTGAGCCGTCACGCTACCTGGTGTGTTTTGCCCGGGAGGTCTTTGCTGCTAGCAGATATGCTATGCATCATCCTCCCCCCTGGTGCCCTACAGTTACTGAGCGCGGGGGACGAGGAGCTCCTTTTCATTATTTTGAGGTCCTTGAACAGCATGTCACATGGGCAGCCTACTCCTTTTTACAACCGCGAGTAGGCTTCACATCAGCCATATGGTTGCATGATGGCTTCTGGGTTGCCCCCCGGCCAGGGGAGGAAATGCTTGCAGCGCTCCATTCTCACCTCTGCCGAACTTTCAGCTTTGACTCGACTGAGGCACCGCTCATGAGGTGTGATCCTTTGCAACCCAAACTTGCTCAACTGCTCTCAGAGTGTGCAAATTCATCCCCTGTTATCAGCTCATTCTCCCATGCCTCCTCCCACCGGCCTCTCCCTGCAGTTGTGCGTATTCACAGAAAACGCACTTTTACCGTAGCGCATCCTGAGCGTCAGGAAGCGCTTGAGCAACGTCTAACGAAGAGAGCGAGGAAGAATGACACCAAGCGGAGGCGACTTATGTAGGTGGCAGTCTCTGAAGACATAAACAGGGAACTTCCTTTGTCACCTCTCCTCCTTGGTAGGCCTCCTTGGCTTTTGCTTGTGGCCTGGAGTTACCTTTTTTGTTCGGCCCCGTTTGTTGTCTAATGGTATCAACTATTGCTTCTGCGCTGACAACCTTTTTTCTTTTGTGTTGCCTCTATCTTTGTTGTTCTCCTCTTGATTCCGTAACCTGGGCTCAAGTCGCTGCAACAAACTAGGCAGCAATCACGGGCGTCTCGCTCCGTCAGCCTACATCCCATCGGGTCATAGCTCATAATTGCCCTTGGGGGTTTGGACCTCAGTCCTGATCCTCGTTTTGCAGCAAACAATGTCGGTAGAACGTGCCCTGGCAGTGGAGGTCGGGCCGGGAGGACTGAACCTCACCCCCTTTTCGCGCCTAGTCTGCAGGCAACCAGACTACGAAGTACATTTTGTCCAGCTTAACGTTATTATTGCGCATACACAGCTTCCATTGCGATTGGCTGTTGCTGCTTTTCTACGTGCCCCATTGGATGATGGCACATGCCCTCGTATAGCCGAGATGGTGGTAGCGGCTGTCCCTAATGAGATGCGAACGTCCTCCCTAGTGCTCACCAGTGGGCAAGTCCTGTTTCCGTTTGAAGACTCGCCACACATAACACATGATGGTATCATTTTACACGGACGGAGTGCCCCACAACGAGCAATGGTCTATCGCATCCTCCATCAAACAGAATGCCTTCCCTCTCCCGGCT